GCAATACGATAGACGAGGCGGTGAGGGGGGCAAAAAAGCAGTTGATAAATGTTCCAGACAGCTCGGTAAGAATTCAATAGGTGGATGATGGGCCGGGATAAAAGAAATTGGACTGGGGTGGGGGTAAGGGTACGGGGGGTAGGAAGCGATAAAAAGTGAGATGATGGTCGGGAGAAGTGTCAAAGATGCAACCTCCGAAGATACTCGTGTGATTGATGATAACGGGAATAAATCAATAGATGAGTTGTTGAGAACTATAAAACAACAGAAGCACAGGCAAAGGCGAAATAGGATAAACTAGCGACTCCTGAACAGTCGCGGGCTCTGATAAGAGACTTTTACTTGACTTCCGACTGCAAGAGGAAAGACGAAACTATGTACGAGACAATATGGTAAGCAATCAAGCAATAATGGGGCGGGGGATTGAATATACCTTATAAAAGAAAATAAAGACTATTGGGAATGAGGAAAGTTGGGGAAGGGTATGGCACAGTTTGACAGGGGCTGTAACGGGGTTGGTTATATAAACGGAAAATAAACAGTTGGGTGGTGGGAAGGGACGGACAAGTTGAGGGAGATTGAGGATGGAATGGGCGATGATTGGCGAGGGCTTTAACGACAGTTTTTAGGGCTGCTGGATTGGCTCGGAGATGACCAACCCCAGAGATGAGCCCAATGAGTTGTATCTATGTGGTCAGGATTCTCGCTGATTGGTTTCAGCCTCAAGAAGTGAATACCCTGAGGACGGTGATGTGGTCGTCAACTGACGCCAGACAACACACTTGATGAAACGCTCAGCCAATCGTGGCCAAGCGCAAGAGAAAAAACTGGAAGGAGAAGAAAAAAAGGGAAGGATTACTGCTAAAGAAGATCTCGGAAGAACATACCTAGTAGCAAGGAGACCACCGGCGTCAGTATGTATGTAAATATGTTTCTAGCTCCCCGTTCGAATTGAATCGTCTTGGATCGTGGCGGACAAGCCCCGACGGAAATGGCCTTTGGATCCTATTGGAAGCGTGGTGTGAAGCGTTTTCTGAGCTTTTCTACTTTGAGATGCTAGGGCAGACATTCCGAGTGTCAGTAACTATTGCAGTGTCTGCTCTCGCCGGGATGGATTTTACGAGCCAAAACCAAGGGATGAGAGGCAAAAGAGAAGTGCGTTGCACATACCCTACACACACACACGATGCACACGTACAGAATAATAAAAATTGGGCTTGGTTCACGTTGTACTTCCTAAGGCCAAACGCGTCATTCAAATTCGCCTGAAGGGCTGGGCGACGGAGATGTGATTCTGAAGGACTTGGCTGTAGTAGAGCACTCGGTCGGGACAGTTGGGGTTGTACGGATGAACGTGACGTGATGAAGTGGTAGGTATTTTTATGTATAATGAAATGCGCCTGAATGGAGGTTAAGGAAGCCTATATGTATTTTACTGACGGGATCCTGATACAGTTGTGTAGCTGTGGAAGGAAGGTACAAGACAGCGGGGGAAGCGATAAGAAGGCAAGCCAGCTCGAGCAACGAAGCTTGACTTTTAAAAGCAGTTCAATGGACCAAGATGGCAACTTGATTCTCCCTATTGAGCACCGAGTTGGTTGGAGACCAGAGACGGAGGCGAATGTTTTCTCGAGTGAGCCTCCATTAGCAGATTGGAGATACTTGACAATCTCATCATGGGTTGTCGTTGTAACACTCCCCTGGAAAAAATTGACAGCCTATCGAGCTGCCGAGGCCAGACAACTGGATGGACACACTACGTAAGAGGGCCTGCTTAATGCTAACGGACAAGTTGGTAGTTATCAAGGGAACCGATTTATAACAGTTTGTGTGGTCTGGAGACCGACCGAGATGGACTCGGTGCTTAAGCACCGGAACTTGACTAGCGATGCGGGTGCCGCCCTCAAGCTAGCCCAACTCGAGTGTTGCAAAGAGAAGACTTAAATGTTTTAATTGAATATGTATTATGAAATTCAAGTTTTTCCCTCCCTCGTCCTCCGAATCGAGTTGCGCGCGGGGTTCGGACTCGGCAGGCCATGAGTGGATGTCAAGTACATACTACAAAAGGGAAAATTTATATAGCCGTCCCGGCATCTTGAAGATGAAACCTGACTTCTTTTCATCCCGATTTCCGTCCCCAAGAGCAGCCAAAAACGACACAACGGGGACTCGAGGAAGCTGACTTGATTCATTTTGGTTTCCACGCCAGCCAAGTGAGCAAACCAAGCAAGAAGGTTGCCCCCCACCCTTGCTCAGCACACCAGTCTCCGGGACACTCCATTGAAGGCGCGACCTTGACGTTTGCGCACGGGTTCCTTCTTCTCGCATTGGAATCAATCAACTGTGAGGTCACCTGAAGAAGGAGCAGAGCGAATAAACCGCTGTTGGGGCAAATGCTGGGCAGTGTCAACTTGGCCCCTTATTGCCGATATACTCACCAAAGTGGCCTTTTCCTCAAAGAGTTGGCTAGGGCCCAGCATCCTTGCAATCTCTTGCAATCTACAGTGCACATCACCTCTTCTCGACTACCCCGCACCTGCAAAAAAAAATTTGAACTTTGATCTGTATGTTTGTTCACACCAACCATGCTACATGTGTAAACAATGCATATTTGAGCTCTACAGAAGTAGTGGAATTCAAAAATATAAAGCAAGATTCTGTAGCATGCAAGACAAAAAAGTTTGAAATTTTCAAATTCAAAATTTGGAACACCCATAGAAAAAGGCCATACTATGGCCTAGTAGGTATGCAATATGTATTTATATGGTATGTATTATGCACATAGACCATCTAAATACATGATATTGAGGGAAGAAGGAGAAAAAAATAGGAAAACTCAGTGCCAGTTGCCCGGCTAACTTGAAGTCATAATTGAAACATCCATCATTGCAGCCCTTGGAATGCAACAATTAGATCTCATCAATGATTTCAATTGGCTGGAGCTTTGGCTGTTGCAAGAGTTTTGGTTTTTGTACATGGCTTTGTTCTGATTGTGTCTTGTCTGCTGATTTGTATGGACAAAAATCTCAAAAAAAAAAAAAAAATTCAAAGAAAAAAAACAAAATGGCATTGAAAAAAAGTGAAAAAAATTCAAAAAAAATTCAACTCCCATTTTGAAAAATTTGGAACACCCTCCTGGGGGTAGTTGAGAAGAGGTGATGCGCACTGTACGCAGAAAACATGACACTACCACCACCAATAGCAATTTGTAATATGCTGTGAAATCGGATTTGCAATGATGTGTGCTTTACATGTTGAATTGTGCTCGGATACATCCACACAGCAGACAGACATCACCGTAAACTGTTGGCTGTGAGGAGGCAGTGGTATGTGGTGATCTGTTACAGGTGAATGCCAAGCTGAGATCACTGCTACAATTAAGTTTATGTAAAGAGTTTGAAGTTTTTTTGTTGCCAAGATGAGCAAAGCATGAAATTAGCTCAAGTTTGGGAAGGTTACTCCAGGCAAACAGTGGTGAGAACTGATGATATTTTTTTCACTGTTGTAACCCGGGGAGGGGTTACCAGAGGTCTCACCTAGACCCCTTTTTCCATAGCATGTATATAGTCTATAGCGGTCTACATACATGCAATCTCATCATCTTTGTCTCGTTTCTCATCAGGTTATGAGCGCCTAAAGAATCTCGCAAGAAAATCACAATCGGAAACCAAGGTAGCTCAGCGTAGGGCGTAATCGACCTCACGAAAACAACGGTAGCTCAGAGTAGAGCGTAATCGACCGACTCCTTCCTTTTTTTTCGTTTTTTTTTCCTTCTTTCCTCAACTTCGGACATATCCCAGAAATCGACAAACTCCCGACCTCCCGTTCTTTTTAGACTCTGGAACATCAATAAGCTTGAACCTAGATAATACTGCTGACTACGCTATCACGGATTAGCTATCCGGGGTATACTTTGTCTGGGACGCTAGACAAAGGGCCGAAAAGCGTATCGTCGAAGTTTGTAGTGGACTGACTGTTACTCTGTCTCGGGCAAGCAATCGACATCAACTCACCTCGACCTCAGACACTCCAAACCCGACTTCGATCTCAACTTTTTCCTTTCTTCTCCCTCAACCCTCACACTCAATCCAACCACCTCACATCCACCCGACAATACGACATTTTTTTTCTCTGTTTACTTCCTTCCCAGACCCTCATATCCACCCTCCACACACCCAACCCGACCCCTCCGTATCCTTTCCCTTTTATTCCCACCAACTTTTTTTTATTCTCGTCTTCCTTTCCTTCTTCCCTCTGATTCTTCTTCTACATCACCCTCCCAATGGACGATCCCAGCATCATGTCAAACAACCCCAGCGCCCAGGCTCCCATCACCTCGACCCCGAATGCCTCCAACGCCTCAACGTCTCGACCGCTCGCAGGTGGCTCAGCGCGCGACCCTCCACCACACGACGCAACAGCCACAGCAAACGGCCAGAACCAGGAGACCCGGGATTCCCGCCGAACACCGAACCCTGAAGAACGGGCGGCCAGG